TGGGCCATTACAATGCAAATGGACTTGATATTTCAGGAACCCTAGAAAATAATTAGGGGGTTCTTGCTCGGTTTCAATTCCATGGTTAGCAAACTGCTGCTGGTCTTGACATGGGCCTCCCAGGGACTGCTTGAGCATCCTTGCAGAATGGCAGCTGGACTTCTCCAGAGACCCAGGAGGCCAGGGCAGAAGCTGCAATGCCCTTTCCGACCTCACCTCCGAAGTCGCTCACTGGCCCAGCTGCAGTGAAGCTCGCCTCTGAGAGGCTGCGCTCTGCAGGCTGGGACTGGAGGGGACGCCCGGGTTCACTTCCTGATCTGACCTGAGGGCCTGGTGTGGGGCATGCACCTGTGGTCCCAGTGACACGGGAGGCCAAGGGGACCCGAGGGCTACTCTTGCACGGTCCAGAGCTGGTGCGGGTGCCTGGGGGAAAATTCACACCTCCCTTCCATGGTCATCTCAGCCCATCTCCAGCCGGAAGGCCCCTGGTGGCGACTGCACAGGCACCAGGCTGGCTCCCGGGCTGGGTGGAGTCGCGGGACGTGGTGCACATTTAGCTGTTTCAGCTGAGTGCTGAGGTGGCCCAGATCTGTACCCTGGTTCGCTGTGCCTTGCCTGGAGGAGGAAATCAACAGCTTTTGTGATGCCAAAGTCCAAGCAGGAGGCGAGCCACCAACGTCAACTGCAACCGTTTTTTTGGCAAATATTTACCAAGCTCCTTGCTACGTGTGCAGGTTCAGGTTCGGAAGCAAAAGCTGGCAGCCCCTCACGCGCCCTGCCCTAGGCCCTCACCAGTGGGCCCCAGGGAAGCCCACGGAGCAGCACATCCTAGGCTCCTGGAGGACAGCGCCCTCCCACCACAGCCCTGGGCATTACCCAGCGCAGCCTGTGTTTGCTCGGATCCCACGCTGTCCTTCTGGTTCCCGCTGGAGTCTGAACCCCTGGACCTCTGGAACGTGATCTTACTTGAAAACGGGATTGCTGCAGATATATGAGGGGACTTCCATGTTCATGGAAATCAAAGTACGAGTTTATTTCAGTGAAAACAACTTGAAATCTATGTATAGTTTTGCTTTTTTTTTCTTTTTTAAAATGGGACCAGCAGGTGGCATGGTGGGTAAGGGCGCTGGACTCCCACATGGCCAACCACGGTTCAAGTCCCAGACGTGGTGGCTTGCCTTCTCATGCTCTTTCTCTCTCTCTCTCTCTCTCATCACTCTCTGGTCAAATTAAAACAAATAAATGGATAAAGTTAAATAATAAAATAATTCTTAACATTTTTTATTTTTTGCCAGATGGAACCAGCAGTTGGCATAATGGCTATGTCATTGAACTCCCATGTAGTCGACCATAGTTCAGGTCTCGGACCCGGTGGCTTAAATTCACGCCGGGCGCGTGTGCGTGCGTGCCCAAGATCCTGAGAGGAGAATGGAGGAGAAGGGATTACAGCGTGGCCATCCCCCCTAGGGGGCGATTTCTCGCTTTCTGTTTCTCTGTCTGTCTTACTGGTGAGCGCATGCGCCCTATAGCAAAAACCTTTCCAAAAAAAATTTTCTTTTTGCCAGAGCCTGTGTGCACTTGCCAGAGGGAGAAAGAAAGGGAAGGGAAGGGAAAAGACGGCCCCTGTGGGGAATGATCACCCCACAGCCTTCCTTCAGCGCTCCTTCTGGGGTTTGAGGCACATGCGTACGTGCTCAGTGAGCGGTCTCTGTTCTTGAACCAGCAACCTTCCCACGTGGTCGGCCACAAGGAGCATCATGTTTCATCTCTGTGCCGTCACCTGGCCGCTCCGCGGACTTTGTTAAGACCCTTTGTATTGAGAACCAGCAGTTAGCGTAATGGCTATGTTGCTGGACTCCCACGTAGTCGACCGCGGTTCGCGTCCCGGACCCGGTGGCTTGAAACACACGCCAGGCGCGTGTGCGTACGTGCCCAGGATCCCGAGAGAACTGAGGAGAAGGGATTGCAGCGTGGCCATCCCCCCTGGGGGGTGATTTCTCGCCTTCTGTCTCTATGTCTCTGTCTGTCGAGCGCACACACCCTATAGCGAAAACCTCTCAAAAAAAAAAAAAAAAGACCCTTTGTATTTAGTTAAGATGAGGTCACATCACAGGGTCATTGCTGAGCCTTTAATCTGCTGTGACTGGTGACCACATGCACACACGGACACGTGAGGTCAACCCCACGTGATGATGGAGCTGAAATTGACCTCTGGCCCCCCGAGCTATGAGAATCATTTTCTCGTGCTGTGAAGCAGCCGAGGTGTGCGGCCTCATTTCAGAGGGCCCAGGAAGCGAACATAGGGCTCGATATGTGTTGAGTGGATCGGAGACCACAGAGTGTAGGGAGCACCTCGGGCTCAGCGTACAGGCAGGCTAGAGACCGAAGGTCCCCTGCAGCCTTGACCCACCTGTGCCATTGTCCTACAGGATGGAACCAGGGGGCCATAAAGAGAACACGGGTGCTGAGTCAGGCGGGGTGTGACTGTGACCTGGGAGGACCCGAACTGCCAGAGCCGTGCAGGTGTGGCCCACTGGGGACCGGATTCGTAGCCCTGCTTTGTACACAGAAGCCACTGGGACCTTCAGAGCCACTAAGGTAGTGGAGTGATCTTTCACAGCAAGTGGCATGGTGGTTTAGGGTTCCCACATGGTCGACTGGGGTTCGAGTCCCAGACCTGGCGGCTTGCTTTCTCACTTGTTCTCTCTCTTTCTGCTTTTTCACTCTGTCCCTCTCTGGTCAAAATCAAAAATAAATAAATGAAGTTAAATAAAATAATTCTTAAAAAACAATGACGATGACCACCCGCCTCCTGCTTCCTCTCCCGGCACACCCACAGCTCTGTCCTGCTGGGCCCTGGACTGTCCCTCACTCTGCAGCGGTCACGGCACAGGCGAGAGTCCACCCTCGGGTCTGGTAAGTGGGGGTGGACTGAGGTTCTCACACTGCTGGCAGCCACCATCACTGTGCAATTCCAGAACTTTCCATCTTCCCCACAAAGAAACACTATCCACAGGCAGTCACTCCCAGGCCCCTCACCCACAACCTGCTGTTCTCAACCTCCTTGACCATTGTCAGGCTGCCTGGGCTTGTCAGAGCTGGGTGACCCCAAGACGGGATCCTACAGTCTGCGTCATTTGGGGTCTGGCTTCTTCCACTCCGGAACATTCCTAAGGTTCGTGCATGTGGGAGCCGCGTCAGGCCCTCACTCCTACTTAGGACCAAATGCCAGATAGGCGTTGGTGAGGCTGCGGGTGGCCGTGTTGACCGACTGATATATTTAACGTGGGCCCGCTCAGTTCTGCGCTGCAAGTTCTGAGAAGCCGACGAGCACCCCGCTCTGCCCCTCTGTCTCCCCCTCTTTTATTTATTTATTTATTTTTTGCCATAAGGTACGTGCGCTCTGAGAGAGAGACACAGAGAAAGGGAAAGTGGGAAATCACCCCCCAGGGGGATGACAAGTCCTCTTCCTCCATTCTCCTCAGGATTTGGGGTGCACGTGCACACACACGACCGACATGTTTTTCGGGCTGCTGGGTCTCAGACTCAAACGAGAGTCGGCCATGTGGGATCCAGTGCCGTAACCACCACCCCGTTTTTTGTTTTGTAAAGTTTTTTTTTTT